AAAGAGAAACAAGAACCTAATCTATAGTTATATACATATACATATATATATATAAAATAGATATATCTCATAGATCTATCTCATATATGTGTGTGTATGTATATATATATATATATAATAACTTTTAAGGATTAGAAGGGGAAAGAGGAATCCTTTTGAGAGTGGTCTCAAAAGCAAGAATACAATCAGAAAAGAACATTGCAAAAAAAAGCAGAGGAAGTAGAGAACTTTAAGAAGCAGTAAATAACTAAATATAAAAATGCAACAAAGAATTATCATAAGAAGGTGACTGAATTTTTTTCATTTTGTGAGGAGGGACAGTTTGGAGGTCGCTGACATTTTAACAAAAGCAGTTTTGATAAAGTGATGCCAATGAAAGCTAGGTTACAATAGGATTAGGGGGTACATGGAAAAAAATGAATAGGAGATCAGAAAATTATTCTTTCAAGAAGTTTGAATTAGAAAGGGAGAAGGAAAAAGAGAGGGTGTTAGCTATGATTTGCTCAGAAACCTCATCCTGTGGGACCAGAGATAAGGGCATAAAAATAGGTAAGGAAGTGAATATGTGTGCGTGTGTGTGTGTGTGTGTGTGTGTGTTAGAGTCCATGATGAATGGCTTCAATTCCATCATTGAAGAAGGAGGCATGATCATTTACTAAGAGTCAGGGGAATAAGAGATTGAGGTTGGTGGGAGAGGAGGAGCAAAAGAAGAATGGTGATCTGAAATCATTCCTGGAGAGGAGGTGACCATAAACAAGTGAAAGTATAAACAAGTCAAATTAAAGATCTACAGAAGATCAGGAATAAGAACCACTCTGAGTAAGGGTGACCATGAATATGAGGTGTAGGGGCAATGGGAGGTAGGGAATTCAAAAAGAAGACTGTTTTCAGTGACGTTTCACAAAGAATAATGAAGGGGGGGAAATCGGAGGGGAAGATAAACCCTGAGAGATGATGGACTCTGAAAAACAAACTGAGGGTTCTAGAGAGGAGGGAGGGTGGGAGGATGGGTTAGTCTGGTGATGGGTAGGAAAGAGGGCACGTTCTGCATGGAGCACTGGGTGTTATATGCAAATAATGAATCATGGAACACTACATCAAAAACTAATGATGTGATGTATGGTGATTAACATAACATAATTAAAAAATAAAATAAAATAAATTAAAAAAAAAAGAAATTTCCTAAGTAATGGATGATAGGAGGTGGGGAAGGAGAAGGCTGTGGGCAAGGCACTGAACCCTTGATGTGTAGGGACTAACCAGGAGGTAGGAAAATAAAAAGAAGAGTAAAGTGTATGGTGATGTAGTAGAGTGCCAGGCACCTAAGAGCAGGAGGAATTTAAGAGAAGGAGAAAAACTAAGTTTTTAGAGTTGTACTGGGCACAGGGAGAGCACTAGTTGGTACTCTGCAGATTGATAAGCCCATGGTGTGAGCACAGTGAAAGGGTTTGGGAGAGCAGGCCAAAGGTGATATTCACCAGGAGGAGGAAGCATGTTTGGCAAAGTAGATAGTAGATGGGATGGCAGATGGAACCCTTCTGTATATGTTGGATAGAGAACCATGGTATACAGTAACAACAGAAAGGTTTTGGTTTAGCCAAACCAAAGTATTCCAATGTTGGCACAGTTGTTTCCATGACCCAAGGGTCCTAGGGGGCATCTTGTTTTGTTGTCATGGAGGCTACCTTACACCCCGTAGAGTGCAGTCAGGGTCTTCCTCTGGAGAGGACTTGCTCTGAGATCTCAGGGCACACAAGCATCCTTTATGTCTTGTTTTTCAACATGCCAATTTTTGATACTGGTTCAACATCCTTCAGACAGTTCATGATCTTTTTCTTCTTTCTGGCTTCATTCTTGCAGTTATTTCTATCAGTCTATAAAGGAGTTACTTACTCATCTGACTATTAAGCTAGAGCACAAATAGGCATTTAAAAATATTTTTTCACTTTTACTTAGTCAGAAACTAAGCAAAAGTTGGGGCTTGCATGTACACTTAGACACTGGAGTGGGGTCAGCAGTCAGGGAGCATGGCATGGATCAAAATGAATGCACTAAGTCTGGGGGACAAAGAAACACAAGTGCTGGATACCAGGTAGTGGTTAATCCCAGTAGGTCACAGTCATAAAATGGTGAGGCAGGTGTGCATTCTTCCAGGGGCCATGTCAGAAATAACAGATTTGAGCAGTGGGCAGAACAACTTAATAAGTCAGTCTCAAGCAGAGCTTGTTTATGAGACAACTTTTATAAAAATCAAAACACAACTTCACTTTGGTTGGTCTGAGTCTCAGGGAGAAGTCTATGGTGAGTACTTCAGCCTAGAGTATGGACAGTATGATCAAAGGGAGATCCTGGCAGAAATTAAGCAGATTAATGCAGTTCATCTTCCTTTTCATACATAGTTCTGGTCAGTTCAAGGCACTTAACGCTTTTTATGACATTTATGTATATTATTTGACCTTTCCTTGAATATTAAGTTATTTTAGATGTCAAGTCTATCTCTTCACAAATCATTTCTAAAGTTCTGAATTTAAGAGTAATATTCATTTTCCATACCCAATGTCTAAGCCAGGCTCTGATCACATTAATAAGATGTTTATCTTTATTAGCTCCGATCAACTTGTGAAAAGGTGTACACCTTATAATAGGTAGAGCATTCAACATATAAAACAGACACACTGATATCTAAGTTTTACCCTTTTTGGATTAAGGAATAATCTAGAAAAAAGTCTTTGTTTCCAACAAAATAAGATTTTCTTCTATCATTTCAATTAATGACTGTTTCCAACTGTCTCTAGCTTTTTAAAATGTGTTCTGCTTCTTATACTTGCTGACTTCTGTCCACATTTATCTCTGTGGAGTGTAGGAGTCAGAGTAACCACACCCAGTTTGTCACCAGCATGACATAAATACTCTCATCTGGAAGGGTAATTTATGGCTGGAGAGAGGTTTGGGGAAAGAAGAAAAAGGGAGATGAGTAGAACCAGCTAATGAGGTTGGTGGTGGAGGAGGAGGCCTCTTGGAGGGTGCTCAAGGGAAATTAGTGGAACTGCTGGGTTGAGGGAGGACAGAAGGATGGCAGCCAAGACTGGTAAATGGCAGATGGAGAAGCCAGTAACACACAGATAGCCCAAGTAAACCATGCCAGGACCTGGGGGATTTGGGGAAAGTGAGGGAGGAGAAAAGAGAGAAAACTGTCAAGTTACCAACTCCCAATTTTAGTGGGAACTCTGGAATAGGAACAGAGAAAGGGTGTGACTTGTCTTCCTTGGTATCCTGAGCTATGTGTAGGCTCAGTCTCTGATTCTCTCTGCCCTTATTTGTCCTTTCCATTCCTTTCGTTTCCAATCCTTTCCTTCTCTCTTTTCCCATTCACCCTCTCTCTGCTTCATTCTTCTGGCCTACATCTCCATGTTGAAGAATTACTTGATGTCATCACAGCTCCAAACCATCAATTTGTCAATACAGGAAATTGTAATTATTTTTAATAAAGGAGAAAGAGAAAGAGAATGTGACTAATATCCAGGGAAAACCAGGCAACAGTCCAGAAAACATTGTGTCTCCAGGAAAGCAGCAGAAGGAATATCCCTCTGATCACATCTGACATCACCTCATGGAATTTGGATGATTTCTTGGGGCTTAAAACTATTTTTCCAAGATATTATAAGTCAATATGAAAAAGTATTTTTAAATCTCTTTTCTCCCAAGTATCTTTGGTTCTAAAGCAGAATCTTTTTTGTTTCTTAACTTGTATTCCGCTTTTTGGTTCTGTTCCAAAGAATACAAAAACAATCTTCCTTGGGATCTCTATTTCTTGGGTACTCCTTGCCAGTATATCCTACATGTGGATTAAATAGATTGCATCAACAGTGTGGTTGGGAGGCAGAGCAAGCAAGAGAAGAAGGGTCATGCTGTCCTAACATGAGCTTCTGGATTTCAGCTTGTCTATCAGAACAGCAACAATGAAGCATGATCTATAAAGGAAATTTCCAACTCATGTTGAGGGAACTGTCTGCCCAGTTGAAGCTGTGATAGGAATATTCTCCCTTTTGAGTGGCAGACTGTGGTCACTATGGGAAGCATCCTGTGAATCCAAAGGGCCACTGAGCTCTGCTTTAGTTGTTTGTTCTTAAAATAGCTCTTCAGTGAGAATGTTGAGTGAGCCTGTTTGCTTATAGTAAGTTTAAAGTTTCACTGATGCCAGGAAGATGAAAGTCTTTGATTATATATGAGCTTATAAAGAGATAAAATGCCTGTTTCCCTTTTTTTATGGGCCATATGGCATATGTTTTTAATAGACCTTTAATTCTGTGCATAACTGCAAACATGATATTGCCTAGTACATTGAAGGCTACCAGTAAAGATACTTGGTAAGTAGCATAAGGTAGTTGGAGTTGTAGTAGTTTCTATGGATTAAGGGACTAGAAAGGAATACATATATACAATTAACATTCTTTGCAGTAACTTTATGATATCCTCTTCTACCTATAACTCATCTATTTTTTCCTCTTTTTTACTTATGTTTCCTGGCCACTGTTTTTTTTTTAATAATGCCCGAAGCAAGCATATACTGAAATAGATTCAGTTGGTCCTCTGATCATAATAATGTTCATGCAGTGTGATAGAAGGAACCAGGAACTGAGAGTTGGAAGGCCTTCTTCACCATGACCTGGGGTTAATACTCAGGGCAAATAATTAGGAGTATCATTGGATTTATCTTGAAGAACTAATCTAGATGTAGAGTGGGAATTGAGTATGATGTCAAACACTGAGCATTCATATAAATAATATAGTGCTAAAAAGGTAAGATATTATTTATCTTGGAATAAATATCCCACATGTGTACTAGTGCCTTTTTTGTTATCTTCATGACAGCCTGGTCTCTGTCTCTCTGCCCCTCCAAAGGGCAATGCTGGCTGGGAGTGTCAGTCTGATTAGGTATGGTTCTGCTTTCTATGTACTGATCCTTTGGTGTGACATTTATGCTCTTGTGTGCTCTCCAGGGCATACATGAGTGTGAAGGAGCTGAAGGAGGCACTGCAGCTCAACAGTACTCACTTCCTCAATGTCTACTTTGCTAGCTCAGTGCGGGAAGACCTTGCTGGTGCTGCCACCTGGCCTTGGGACAAAGAAGCCATCAGTCACCTGGGTAAGTGAAGTGAAGACCAAATATGGTAGAAAAATTGAGCAGGCCCCAAATTATTATGTGAAATGAGTTTGAGGAAAAAAGAAAGAAAATTAAATTTACTCAATGAATTAGCTGCCTTGGGCTGAGAATGGCTTTTGGGACATTCTGTCAAAATGTTTCAATATAGACAAGAAGGAGGTATTAGAGCAAATGGTGGCAAATACTCAGGATGTTCTAGACAAATATATGATCTAGATGTAAATAAGTTGCTGAGTTGCTGATGTGTAATAAGATCCATTTTATGTCTTGGAGAGCCTCAAGGGGGAAATTAGCAAAGAAGACGGCTAGACTGTGAAACTTGGTTTATGGTAATCAATGTGACAGAAGACCTGTGGGCTTCATGCATGGCTCCTCAGAATCCATGGATCCAGGATTGGGCTCCTGAGGGAATCCTGGGAAGATTAGGCAGGTGGGGCTTGCCTGCTTACCTAGGAAAAGGGTGACACCTTAATACTGAGTGGAACCTCTACATTCTTAAGATAATTCCTTTTATAATGTGTTATTGCTATTGTAAAGGAAATCTTCCTGGTCAGTCAATAAGTCATTAAGTAAGTTAATGTGGCTAAAGAGTAATTATTCAATATAATTTGTATGTACTTTCAAAGAATCTTGAGTAGGATTCTACCAAAATTTATTTTAAAACTGAATTACCACAATTGGGAGAAATCTTCATGTTGGAAAGAAAATGATTATAGAGACTGGAAATCACTTTATAAATGATTTTAAAAAGGTTATGCAAAGTGAATCTTCTTAGTAATCAAATATGAAGCAGAGAGAAATAAATTGAAGGAAGATCACATAATGCTATATATGTCAAACGCATGTTTAATGGGGTCATTGTGAAGTGGAGTCCAGAACATGTTGAATTGACAATTAAAGAAAATATGGGAAAGTTTCCAAAGGACAGCTAGTATCATGGATTGGGGAAGAAGGAAGATGAGCAGTAGGTTAGCAATAGATGAAAAAATATTATTGCTGTTCAGGAGGAAACCAGAATATGAAAATCTCTGGAATGAATGAGGTCAACATTTAGAAAGGCTACATATATCAAGCAAAGGAGACGACAATAAAAAAATTAAACATGTGGTGATCCAAACTGAATGCTTTGCTTAGCATGCTTGGTTACATTGGCTCTACAGTATCTGATACAGTTTTAGGGCTCTGCAGTCCTTTTATCACTAAATTTTGTATTCTCAGCTCAGAGTACATGAGAAATCAGAAATTTGTGAAGTTACTGGTGCTTTCTAGATGAAAGCAAATGTGTCATTCCAGCCTTTGTGGTAGGCTAGAAGGTCATATTCCAATAATCTAATTAATAGTGAGTTTGAGTGTCTTGACTTATCCTCATCAAAAACAATGGTAGCAGAGGAGCATATAACACTGTAGAAAAGTTTCCCTAAATTAGTGCATACCTGATTTGCCAATGGTAACATTTTTGGTGTATATGTCAGGGGGTCCTGACAGCAAGGTTTACCCAGCAATGGTTTTCATGAGTCGCAAGTCTATCATTGGGAACTGAATCTGTTTGAAAACCTTTAGAAATGATCTATCTGCCTGGCCATTATGAAGACAAGTCTTGGCCTCCTGATAAGAATCACTGGGCTGAGAGCAGACCACTGAATGTTTTCTAATTTTATTGGAACTGGGCCATTGATAAGATTCATTTAACTATAAAAATGGATAAAATACCAGGAAAAAAAAAACTATTTGAAGACATCAGACAGTAGCTAAAACAACAAGGATTTGAGGGCCCAATCCCAGTGAGAAGAAAAATGCATTGAAGTGAGCTCTATATATAACTCAGTTGTTTTTTTTCCATTCAGGGAAATTGCCAAATTCTCAGTCAAAGGAATAGAGGCAGAACAGAGAGCAGCCTAGAGTCTGCTGAAGTCTCACTACTGGGGAGACAAAAATTAAAGGTCAGGCCATCCAAGTCATCCAAGATGCCCATAGAAATAGAAACCCCCAAAAAAGCCTGATATTCTGCTCATTATTTTCTTTTAAGATATTTGCTAACTACTAACCCATGCATTCTCAGGGCCAGCAGCCAAGAAAACAAGTATAAAATAACTTCTAAGAGATTAAAAAGTCAAACAATGGTTTCAGGAGTCTCATAATGTAGGGAAGAAAAAACTGGAGTTGACACCTTATGGAGGAGGAGGGGCCCTGAGACACCCTGTGTGTGACAGCAAACAGAAATAGTCCAGATTACACAAAGCCTGAAATCCAGCCTGAAATACTCTTAAATCCCCATATGAAAGAAAGTCATTTGCCTACATTTAACTGCCTAACAAAAGAAAATCAAATATTTTCTACCTTCCTCTGGAGGAAGACAGTTGTCTCTATAAGTTATCATGCACAATGTCCAGCAATCAGTAAAAAATTATCAGTTATGTCAAGAAACAGGGCCAACTGATGGTAAACTTAGCTAAACAAAGAAGCAAGGAATCATTAATAAATACAGACTCACAGATCACCCAGATATTGTTGTTATAGGATATTGGTTTTAAGATAATTATGATTAATACATTATAAAATATATATTAAAAATGCAGAATATCTTCTGAGAGCTGGAATTTGTAATAATGAGTTAAGTGGAAATTTTAGAACAAAAAATACAGACTGAATTTAGGAAATTAATAGATAAGTTTATGAGCAGGGGAGGGAATTAAAGAACTAGAAAAATATAGAAAACATTTGTATTGAAGCTCATAGAGAAAAAGTGTTGGAAAAATATAGAAAATAACTTCAGACACTTGAGACCTGATGAAAATTTTCTAATGTAAATTAGAGTTCTAGAAGAAGAAAAAGATATTGGGACAGAAAAAATATCAAGGAGATAATGGCTGAGACTTGTAAAGTGACAGAAGATATGAAACAACAGATTCAAAATGTTTTACAAACCCCAGGAAGGATAAAATAGAAAGAAAATCACAATTAGATCCATTATAGCAAAAGTGCTTAACAACCAAAGACAAAGAAAAAAATGCTTAAAAGTAGCTAGAGAAAAAATGTACATTACTTTAAAAGGGCAAACAGTGAGATTCATATGAGGACTTTTCAACAGAAACTGTGGAAGTCTTAAGACAACAAATATCATTTTTTATTATTTTTTATTTTTTTAAATTTTATTATGTTAGTCACCATACAATATATCATTAGTTTTTGATGTGGTGATCCACGATCCATTGTTTTTGTATAACACCCAGTGCTCCATGCAATACGTGCCCTCCTTAATACCCATCACCGGGCTAACCCATCCCCCCTCCCCCCCTCCCCTCTAAAACCCTGTTTGTTTCTCAGAGTCCATAGTCTCTCATGGTTC